AGGCCTGGTTCATAGGGACTTGACAACAGTCTTGCGTGTTGTCTATCACGAGCCCTGAATCTGTATTTCTAGAATTAGGCACACCTGTACGCCGCCAGGTGTATGAAGAGAGAGAGAGAAGGGGGAAAGAGCTTGGAATGCTCAAAGTTCTTAACTGATCTCTATAATTAACCACTCGACTGTTACAAATCTCACTAAAGTCGCTACTCGTTCTGCACTGCGAGGAACGCAGGTGTCACCGAAGAGAAGAAAACGACAGAGTGCGAGAGAAAACAAACCAAAAATCGCGGAGGTGCTAAATCAAACAAAAATAAACTAAATTACAAGAAGCGCCCCTATGAATATTGCATTGCTTGGCTTGGCTTTGAAACGCTTTCGGTTTAATTTTAAAATTCTTATTGTTAACTGGATGAAAAATAAGCATCGCACTGAAAAAGATGAAAATATCATCCAAACTTACACCTACAAAATGTACGCCCTCTCTCGTTCTTTACTCCCTTCTCCTAAAATTCACACTCATGGTTTTTTATATGCATATTTTTTATGTTGTTGATAAAACGTCCGTGGTTATATTTATGCTGATATCAACGTTATCCAAACCTCAAGAAACTACTGTCGCGCGTATCCACAACAGACTACCAAACAGTGTTTTCATTAAAAATACTAATCGTATTTTGAGATATCCAAAATCTTTTTATCACAAAGATATGCAAAATCCTTTACCTTGCTGCATCGGGTAAGATATAGAAAACTTACCGTATCAAAATTTCGACATGTCGACGTTAACAGACCAAAGAAAGGTGTACCTTCTCCGAGCTCCTCGACATAAAAGGCTAAGAACGCTACAGTAGTCGAAAGCATAATCAGACGTCTTCTTGGCAACACCGTTACAAATCATGCGGTAATTTCTATTAAGGTGGTTTTAATACTCACAATCAAATGCAGCGCGGATTTCAAAGCGAAGACCAATTAATCACACGATAAACGGATCAGTCGGAATATCGCAGTGTAATTTCTGTGTTTTCCATTGAAATTTTATTTACTTATAAACAGCTTAGCGGGCCAGAGAAGTCTCATGAGGCTCAGATTGTGCGGGTATTGACAGATTCGTGATTATCGTAACTTGCTCTTTTAAAAACGCCTCCGAACAATTAGACCGGAATTTCGAGTGTTTGCTTGCCCCGGTACCCAAGTATAAATAAATCGGGTCTGAAAGACCGTGGACTTATTAATCATATCATATCGTATACAAACATAACACCTTGTGTTCCCTTTTTAGAATATGATTTTATAATATGTAGAAAAAAAAAAAACTTTTTTCATTTTATACTTATGAATAATATTATATTAACAATCTTGTATCTAAGTAATTTTGAATAATTATAGTGAATTGTTCTCTTTACAGCCCCGTAGTATCAGAGTATAAAAGTATATTGCTACAAAAAATTCAATCATTAAACTTTTAACAAAATATGGTAGAGAGATCCAGCTTTGGTTTATGGGGGTATCGACGTTGCATCATTTGCAGACTCTAATACTGCACGTCTCTCTCAGCTTTCCTCAGTCAGTTTCGATATCAAATCTACCCAGGTTAGGCGATTCACATTTTTTTCATAAATCAGTTTCATTTTTATCTTCCCACAATATGTCAGCTGTTATTCTGTTGAGGAGGTTAGTTAATCATATTGTCTTACCTGTGTTTACGTGATCATAGGCCCTGGACTCGTGGTTCGCAGGTAAGACATTGCAGTTTGGGTCCATAGTCAGACTGTCGGTGGCTGGGTAAATCCTTTTCTTCTGTTCGCCGCCGACAGTAAGTGATACAGCGAGGAGGCTTTCTTCTACGAGAAGTGATCCTATAGTTCTATCACGCGTGTTTTTATCGCAATGACAGCACGGTTGGTGTATGACAGCTTTCAACCCGGCTTCACGGCCAGGCTGCAGTGTAGCTAGTGTCACCGTTATGGTCTCCGTCCCTGTGACAAAACACTGTCACCGGGGTGGACTAAATAGCGTCTTGGAGCAGCGTCCGTCGAAGATCATTCGCCGCAGAGGAGGGGACCGGTGTTCAATATTCATAGTTGACCCTGTAAACTTAAAGGCTTATAAATCACAGTGCGCATGCTCAGGGTGGGATGTCGCTCAGCGATCTGTCCCTCCAGTGAGATTAAGATGTTAAAGATCACGACACTTCACACCTTTAGAGCGCTATCCGCAGTGCTAAGTAAGAGGGGAAAACGCATTGTTATTTGCAGCTGGGAGTAAATTGAAAGCGATCGGGTTTCAACGTCAAAGCACCGTTTGCGGTGAAGAAGTTGATTAATGAAGCACGCTCTCAGTTTCAGTAGCGTTGTGAATATTGAAAACAAAACAACCCTCTGCCGGAGAACGTAATGTGCAGTTTTCCGGACTTAATGATAATAAAATTAATAACACGCGCTTCTCCTTCTAAAGGATCAACCCCAAAAAAAAAAAAAATGATGGAAAAATAAAAGTAAAAAAGTGTCATTACGAAATTATCCTTTCACTTTTCACATTTCACTTTATATAGCATTTTCAATCAAGAAAATCAAATCAATTCTTGTCCCTTTTACCATCAAGTCAATTCTATGATAAAAAAATCGTGTAAAAAAAAAAGACCTGTTACGTTCGACATAATTTGAACTGATGTGACTCATTTGGTAAGATTTTGTCACCTATGTTTCAAAACCCTTCCCTTGAATACAATATTCTAGGTTAAAGTCGATTTTTTTGGATCGTCATGATTCATTTGTTCTCTTCCAGATTGGCAATTTTCATAATTTCATTTTAGAACCGCTCTCCGAGTTGCCCATTTTCACAATTTCATTTTTCAACCCCCCCCCCTAAAATGTATTTTCCTCTTATCTGATTCGAATTTCTTATTTGATACATGTTGATATCTGTTCTTACACGAATTACAATTATCATTTTTAAAGCAATGTTTGAAATAATTGTTAAACTTATCTTATTAAGACAAGTATATTTTTATTTTCTATTTTTCCACGCGTTGTCTTTCATTATTAATTTGTTTGTCTGATTGTTTGAATATCTAGTTTTTCTAAATTATAAATTTCGTGTTTTAGAATTTTCTTGAATTTTTACGTGAAGTTTTCACGCCCCCCTTTTTTTTAATAAGCAAGGAGAATACAGTATAAAAATTCAATGCAAAAATCAGTTTCATTTTTTTCCTGCAAGGCTTGTTTGAAAATGAATAAACTGCTTTCATTATGTAACTTATTTCTGATTACTTGCTCGTAAGGTACGAATGCCGTTGACACATTCCAAATTGAAATCCTGGTTCTCAAAAAGTCAACACGGATATTACAAAAAGAGAAAAATTAATTAAGCCTGACGAATATACATCATGAACGACCAGAACCTCATTTCGTCAAAAGGAAAGCTAAATAAGAAAATTATCTTCTATTAAAAAATAAAAGCTAGAGTTGCTTGGTACAAGTCTAAAATGTTATGGCCTATTTTATTCAAGAAAAGAAAAACAATTTTATTTTTTGTTTACAGTTATACAATTTACTTGCACGAGGGGAAATGTTATACTTTTTAGGTAAGCCAACTCATTTAATTCTAAATGTCACGTCAAGTTACATTTCTAATTTATTGAATGGAACTTTTTCATCTTATAAATTTTATAAATATTCAATTGCCGTCTTGTTCAGTTACAGGAAAGTGGATGAGTAGGAAGTCACGTTTAGTTTCGAGAATTATCTAATGAAAACTTTATGGAAAATTCACTTCAGCAAAAGCACGCGAAAACGCTGGCTTTTGTAAACAGATCTATAAGGAGAATCACACTCTCTCTCTCTCTCTCTTTCTGTTTCTCTCTTTCTCTCTCCTAATCCCGCCTCTCCCTCTCCAACAAATACCGTGCTCTAGTTGTGATCTGAAGCAACTTCGAAGGTGATATTACAGGAAAGAAATCGTCTGCAATATTGGTATAGCGTGCCAAACATGAATATGTCTGCTTGAATCTGCGTCATTAATTACGGAAGTGTCAAACCTGCAGATTTGTCTCACCCAAGGTGTTCGTGCTATAGGCAGGTGCTAAAGCACTATGGAAGATGTCTTTAAGTACACATTGTCAGCATTGCAGTTTCGGTTTCTTTCTTTATTGTTTACTTACTTACGTACTGTCTTACTTTCTGTCTTTTTTTATTTATTAATTCATTTTTATCACGTGGAGTTTATCTGTTTCCCCCTGTAGTATCAAAGGAACATTAACGGGCAGCCATATCTGGCATAAACGCACTAATATGCTGCAGTAAAGTTATTAGTTAAGAGCTTTGGCTAAAAGAATTAAAACGCCAAATGGTCCTTGTTTTCAGTTTCTCAGAAACGCTTTCGGCGTCTGCATTCATGTACAGCACTTGTGTAGAAAAGGCCTTTGAAGAAAACTATCATATAGTCCAATTACAATTTCAAACGCGGTGATTACCAGAATATGCTGTCTACGCTCTCTCTCTCTCTCTCTTGGGTATTGCTTTACGAATAAATATCCATACCCTCGTGATTATAAGGGAATCTTTCTCAAACAAGTCTGCTCTGTCACCTTACAAAACAAGATTTTTTTGCGGGAAATTATTCCATAAATTCCGAGTGATTTAGACCAAAAGAAAATTCCTCCTGTCGTCTTAAAGGATTCAGCAATGCCTTGGATTGTGAACCATCGATTCTTTGTAAAATACCAAGGTTTATATTCAAAAATTTTTGTCAGTGAGATAGTTCTAAATATTTTGTAAGAATTATGTAAAAACATACATTTCTAGATACTCTGTACATACGAAGAGTTAAGACAAGGCACATGACTCGTGATAAGAGCGGGACGAGATATCAGACAAATGATAAAACTATAAATAATCACTCTGAAAATAATCTTCGAACGATTGTGCGTCAACCTAGATATATTTTCACACTAGTAGAAGATAAGTAGAGCAGTGAGAGGATATCTTTCATATACCATATTTCTTTATTGTCCTAAATATAGGAGATTCCATACTGCGACAGAGAAAAACAAAACCGACTGGTATGACGTTGTTGTGACTTCAATATTACTAGGGATTACAAGTGCGTTACAGGGCAGTTTCTTAAGTATTTTTTCTTTATCAGTAAATCCCCTCCCTACTTTTATCAAATTTTTATTTTCAAGCTTGCCTCAACATAACAAATCTCGAGATAAACAGAAGAGACGAATATTATGAAATCGTGTCCTCAAATGTATCGACTCAAATTTGTTGAGAATGTGAACTCCCCTTTTGCCGAATAATTTTGTCATGTTTGAACAAAATGCTGTATGCATATAAAAATTTATAATGGAACAATTTTTAGGCTAACAAATCCTTTTTTCACTTGGAAAGGGAAGTTAAGGTGCATAAGAGCAGATCCGTTACACGGAACACGGACACCGGAATGTGGTAGAGAAAATGAATGACGCAGAGCTCTACTAGAGCATTTTAATTTCCGAGTACAAGTAGAGGCGTTTAAGATTGTCACTCAAAACCAAATGAAATAACGGAAATTGTTTTAATATATAAATAAATATAACAACACAAATTCATATAAAACCCGTTATTATAACGGTAATTTTCAGATAATGACCAGTGGATGCATTTTTCTGACTCAAAATATATAAAATATTTTCTATGCCATTTCTCAAGTTGGGTCAGCAAAAGGACTGAAAAGGTTCGCTTTTTTAAAATATTTTTTAAAACATCCCCTCTTTTATACTGCCGGCCAAATGCCTGCTTGGCTGTCACTGGACCACTTGTTTTGTTTCTTTTCTAGTCCAAGTTAAATTCACCAGATGGCAGCACAGTGGGCAATACGACACACAGCCCATATTTCCTGATGAGATCTGATCTTATAGCATGCGTCACCTAAGTGTGACATTGACTGACGCCAAGGCTTCCACGGCCCACTCAGGATAGTCTTTACTGGGAAACAAAGCTGACATGAAGTCCTGAACAAACTTTGGAAAAGTATTCTCCATGATGCTTTTTCTTATCCCTCTCATAAGGTTCAACTGAAAAGAAGAGATATAGTTGAATGAACAGATCATGAAATCTTGTGGAAGAAATGTTTTTCTTAGGTATAAACTGAAGCTTGTGAACATTGCGTACCTCTAGTAGTCTACCCTCTACCAGGGCCACAGATTATGTGCACTTTTCTCCAACGGCGAGAAATGTGAAGAAATGTGCCATGAATTAAACAGATAATATCTGCGAATATCTGGTGAAAAATTAATTCTGTGGCCCTGGTAGAGAGTAGCCTAACTCAAGTCTTTGTCTTACTCCTGTGAATGTATGGTGCTTCCCCCCACCCCCCTCCCCTCTAACTAACCTGATATTTCACATTGTGGACAGTAATCAACTGGGCTGCCACTGGTTTATGTCCAGCAATGGTGTGGAGGTAGCTACGAGTGTACTGTGAACACGTGGAACACCCACAGTTCTCATCTATGGGGCGGAAGTCCCGGGAGAATTTCTCTAATTTCAAGTTCAGCAGGCCTGTGGGAACTAACGCTGTTCCAAACCTCTGTAATGTGAAAATAATAAGCTTTTTATGTAAAATAAAATAAAATAAAATAAAATAAAATAAAATAAAATAAAATAAAATAACATAATGTAACATAACATAACATAGCACAACATAACATAACATAATATAACATAATATAATATAAAGTATTTTGCTGTTATTCCTTATCGTGAATATTTCGAGAAAATCAATGAAATATTTCAAGAATATTATACTCACTGCAGTTCTTGTGGGATATACACAATCAAACATATCACATCCTAATGCACAGCAAACCACCAGGTCAACGGCAAATCTGGAACACAAGCAGAATTTCCTCAGTTTCATGACTTTTAAATAGTCAATAAATGATGAAAAATAAAAATGACTATCAAACTTATCACTGTGCAACAGACTGTCTGTTATCAAGAAAAAATACATTCACAAGAATTCAAGATGTCAGCTTGCAAAAAAAAAAAATAAATAAAAATAAATAAATAAAATAAAAATAATAATAATAATAAAATTAAATTAAATTTTAAAAAAAAGTAAAATTCAAGATGAAATGTCAATGGGAAATTCACATATCCATGTTTCTGAAGTTTCACTTATGTTCTTGGTCTATACCTAAAATCAAATAGCCAAAACCTTTTATCTAATGATTTCAGTTTATAGGGAAAAAAGCTTTTAGTACTGTGCACTATAATTAAACCTATATCAGAAAAAAAGGTCATTTTCTGACCACTGAGTGCCTTACCCCACTCCCATGAGATATCTTGGCTTGTCCAGGGGCAGATGGTCAGTGGACAGAGAGACCATCCGCCAGAACTGACTCTTTTCTTCCCCTCCACTGAGTCCTCCAATAGCAAACCCTGAGACATCTCGTTTTGTTAGCTCTGAAATAATCAAATAGCAAATGCTATAACATCTTGTCTTGTTTGTTCTACAATAATTATAACCTATCGCCATCTTTTTGAATATATATATATATATATATATATATATATATATATATATATATATATGCATCTGTACATGTTTTTGTCAGTACATACTGACACATGAATTACAATAATACTTATATCTATTTATTTACCCAAATTAAACAATATATCACTTTACCCTGAGCACATTTCTTCCTCAGCTCAGCATCCAATCCGCCCTGTACAATAGGAAAGATACTTTGGTCGTGAGGTCTGCCGTGTGCCTTTAAGCAACGATCCAACCAACGGATAGTTCTGAAATAGAAATTACCTCAGTAAGTCCATTTCAGATCTCCTAAGTGCAGTTTCACAAATGAATTTTTAGTATATAAGTCTGTTGCAACAGTGTTACTCTCAAATATTAAGATAAATGGAGTCAGCTTGCACATTTAAAATCATAACATTACATGTATATTAGGTTTTATTTACATGCCTTTTAAATGCTAAGATAAAAAGAGTATCAATATTGTACCAATGCTATATATTGACTCTACAGCAATGCACCAATATATAAATAGCTAAGCTATGGTCAGTTATGCTGTTGTAGTACAGTGTATAGTATAGTGTATGGTGTACAAACCTCCACATGGCTTCCTCCACTCTAGGTCCTGTAGTTGTACTGTGAACCACATCATCTAACTGCATGATTATGTCAGCACCTGGAACACAAAAGGTAAACTGCCTAAGTTTTGTTTTAACTTAAGATGATAGTCTTATCATATATTAAAATTACACCATTTGTAGAATCTTAGACCTCTATTAAGTCACATTACCATTGTCAACAAATATGCAATGAAGGCCTGTGTTTTGTGATGATGTGTCTTTGTGTTGAAATTATGTAGTGCATGGCTGGTTGCAACATTACATAACAGTGGGGAAGGGGTGTGGAAGGTAGATATATTTTGTAATCCCTTGCGAAAATTTCCTTTACGGTCCCACAGGAAATATTTCTTAGATAACAATCCTATAGGATGTCAAATCAAATTCCCGTAGAATCCCAAACAGTAATGTAGGATTCCTACAGGAAATTTTGTAAGGGATGACATCAGGGACTCCAAGGTATACTGTATATGCAGTTATTTCCAAACTGAAAGCTGTCTTACGTTGTACTTGGCAGATGATCTTTAAATTAAAACAGATTTTTCAAAAATTATTTTTACATTTTACCACAACCACTAGCTACTGTAACAGTAACTATTATTATCTTATAACCATATAGAGCACAGTCTCAAGTGTACTTCAAAGAATAGTGCACTTTGCCTCAGGTCCCATTTGCTCTCGCTGTGCACTATTCTTTATAAGTACAATTGGGACTGTCAGGGGCAGGTTTAGGCCGTCTTCTTGGTCTTCCGGAAGTTTACTTTGATGGGTATCTAATTTTTTCTGTCAAAATTGGAGGATGTATCTATAATGATAATTCGGAAGCCTGTCAGAAAATATCTCTGGATACGCCCCTGACTGTGACCAATCTGTTCATGAGATAATGACAGTTAGTGTTGTTATAGTACCTAGTAGTAGTGGTACAACGTAAAAAAAATAAAACAATAATAATAATAATAATCCATCAGCCTGTTTAAAATAAAGACCAAGTCTGAACAGACACTGCAAAGTGTATGGCATTATATGATAGTGGAAAACAACTAACCAATGGAATTCTGTATTTCAATAGATTTCTCTGGAGTTAGCATCATTGTAGAGCCGTCATGCGGTGACTCAAACTTTACGCCTTCTTCTGTGATCTCCGCCAGCTTTAATAAAGATACCATCTGAAAACCTCCGCTGTCCTGAAATTGGGAAGAAATGTTTTCATTTTGTGGAACATGTTAACTACTATTCCATTTATCAGATTTTTAGGTCCAAAAAAATGAAGGAGAATACTTTTAACAACATTGAAGTATAATTTGTAATTTAGCAAAACCCTCTTTGTTTTCTTTACTTATTTGAATCAGTTCTGTATGTTTCTCCAGTTTCAAGTTACAGTATACTAGTATGTAAACATGTGACATTGTGTTGCTTACTGTGAGCAAGTTTCGGTTCCAGTTCATAAATTTATGCAGACCTCCTGCCTTTTCAAGCAACTCTGGACCCTGTGGTTGATAATACAAAACCAATCAAATATATTAGACATGATATAAAAAGAAGCCATATTGAACAAGTTAAGTTTAAAAGTGCAATTATATACAATTTCATGAAATAAAGAATTTTAAGACTATATCAGCAAATTGTGGCCATGTACTTCTTCCATCAAGTACAGAATTGGCTGATAGATTTTAAGTTGGTAGTGCCAGTTATACTCAACCAAGACGGGATACTTGATTTTAATTTTACACCAAATAAAACAATATTAAGTTGTACTGCACAGCTCTGGATATTTTAATATAAATCATGTTCAATCAAATCTTATTTACCCAGTGTTTTTTTTTAAAGAGACAAGTGTGTAAAGCAATTTTTAAACAAATAAATTATTATTATTATTATTATTATTATTATTACCGGTCTGTGCCCTAGGTGGTAGGTATTGCCAAGAATAATTTGACAGTCCATTTCTTCTAACTGATCTGGTAACATCGCCTTCAAAGTACCCTGTGTCCCGACCGGCATAAACACGGGGGTATCCACTTCATGATGTGGCAGAATTAGCTTACTTACTCTTGCCTTAGTGGTTGAACACTCCGCTAAAACTTTGAAGCTTAACGCATGTGCTTTTCTCGTGGCAGACATGGCTGTCAACTTCCGCTTTTCGCTAAAAATACAATCCAATCAAAATCAGTGTTACAATCTCGACAGTGTTAAATGATTGTTTTGGGGTATATTTACTCATTTTTAAAGGGTGGGAAGTGAGAAAAATTATATTTAAAAACTCAACCATACATTGATCGTAGCAATCACATGCACAGAAGTAATTTGGTTTACAACTTTGTGAACTTTCGATTTTTTTCAACTGACCAATCACAAAACCGATTATAATATCAACAAGCGCATGCGTGTCACGTTGCCGTAATATGGCTTCCGCAAGTGCAGGTGCTTCCGCGAATGCAGACCTCCCGGAATTTCGAGACGACGAAATGGTTAAATGGAAGGCAATTTCACTTACACACGTAGACTATCCAGAAGGTGGGCTGGCGGTGGATTTGTTCCTAATAAGATACTCTTCCTTAGCTTCACACAGGCACTACTGGCGCTGCCACCTTGATTTTGATTTCTGCCGTTTTTTAGATGAATGAGATTTATAAGTAAAAACTGCAGCGGAGATATAAATATATTTCAGAGGGGCTATGTCAACGAGTTCTTGCTTTTGTTTGTCAAAGACAAATGTTGCATTTACACTATGGCCTACGAAATAGTTATAAGAAGTATTGGCCACAAGGAATAGAGTTATGTATGAATGTAATAAAGCCAGATAACACGAAATCCATGCGTTAGCACTCCTGTTGACGGTTTTTGTTAGAAGGGGGTACATGTCAAAATTGTCAACAGGGGTGCTAACGCATGAATTCCATCCACAGTTGTGGAGATGAGTTTTTTTTAATATCACCCAGGAATTTAACTTATAATATAAGGCTTAGCTTTAAGATTATACTGTATGCTGCCTCCTTCAAAAATAGCAAAAATGATAATTAGACAATTCTACAATGGTTTTAAAGATATTTTAAATCCATTCAAATCTTATGGGAATGGTAGACAAAATGAAAATGATGATCAAACATAAAAAAATCTGTTAGTAATTGCCACACAGATTAATTTGAATGGAAGAGACATTGATAAAAACTGCCATATAACTGAATTTAATAAAACCAAAGACTTACAATGTGTGTTTATTTGGGGGGCATACTGCAAAAGTTATTTAGTAAAAAAACATTTATTTCTTGTTATAACCCTAAACTCTTTTCCAGGTGATATATTTGGATTCCTTTTGGCTTGCTCCAGTCTCCTCCCTGTTTTCATATTGGGATCCTTCTTCACACTGATTATTTTTAGAAGAGACTTGCATACAGTAAGTGAAATGCTGAGGTTAATTCATTTAATACTGTAGTTGAAGAGATGAATGATGATTCAAACACACACGCACGCACGCACGCACACACACATAGGCAAGCATGCGTGCAGGCACCCCCTTTCTCACAGAAAAAAAGGTTAACCTGTTATATTTTTTTATGAGCTGTCACAGTATTATTCCTCAATTATTTTCCATCTTTTTTATGGACATTATTGATTTCATTATAGATTTCATTTTGGAATTTTGTGAATGGAAAATCTGGAAGTTTTGTGAATGTATTCATTAATTAATAATGTTAATAAAAATTTGAATCTGAAAATTTTTACTATTTCAGATTTGTTACTTTGCTGGCTTAATTCTTAATGAGTCAGTAAATTGGGTAACAAAACACATTATTAAAGAGCCAAGACCAAGAGGTAAGTCCATAGTTTATTTTGTTTTGTAGAACTTGATTTAGTGTCACTACATGTATATATAATGTACGTAGTGAAATTTTTCCACAATTTCTCCTGTTAGTACAGATCCTTTCTCTTCTGCAAAGGTGTAATAATGATTGTTTTTCTTCTAAGAAAATATTAGTGCTTTGATTATGATGTTATTTTGAGGTGTTTCTCATGCTAATTTGATTTTTTTTCTCTTTTCAGCCCGATCAGTATTACATACAGAGTATGGAATGCCATCTAGTCATTCACAATTCATGTGGTTTTTTGCAACATATCTCGTCTTCTTTTTATTTATAAGGTAAGTGAAGGATATTTCCTGTTAATACTAATATATTATTTGCATGTTATAAATGAACCTTTAGACAAATCTTAAGCTGTTATTAAAACCAGTTGTCAGATCAGTTTTTATGTGTTTGAGATCTACATGTAGATAATTAAGAAAACTAGAAGTTGAACAAACTAAGCAATTAATAAATAAATCTTTTATAATTATTGATGATATATAAAACCTGTATGTAAGGCTCTCTATTTTATTTTCATTGATTTAGTCTTAAAATGATTTCTAAAGACAGTTATAATAATACACAAATGACTGTGTCTAATTTCTTTATTTCCACCACTGTTTTTGGCTCTGTTTGTCTGTCTTTCTGTCTATTGTGCAAGAACTTATTAACACATCTTGATGAAAATGTTCATTATGTGTGTTAATTAAGACAAATGTAGCTCACTTTATTTGAAATAAATATATGAAAATTTAAAGTATATAATATATATGAACCGAGCTTCGGTGTAGTGTGGATTCCCAGTAACACACATATGGTAATGACTTGATCTTTACACTGGGCAAATAAAACCTCAGACTTTCAGATACACAATTTTATAATCACAAAATTATATATTTCTGTATAGCACTTGTTGTGCTTTTAATGCATAAAACAGAACTAAGGAATATTCTGCTTTTCAATTTTGTTGCTACCACACATAGAAATGTTCTGATTTTAAGAAACTATAACCTATAAAATATAGTATCTGTAAAGTTCACAATTTTCCCCCATTTGAAAAGATTGAGTAGTTACTGTAAACCACTTGTACTTGTTTCTGATACAACTCAAATAAATTTGACATGCCAAGGGATGAACTAAAGAAATCACTCGATCAACCATAAAAGAGCTTTAAAATGCTTGTTTCCTTAGATTTTTGGTGGTAAATTTAACCTACTTATCTGTCCAACTTTTTGGCCCCATTTATATACAGCAGAGGAAGCTAGCAGAAAAATCCATTCAAATATCATTTTTCGGGTAATATTAAACAATTTATTTTCAATTGGTTATTCTCTTAGTTATACTATTTGAAACTATATGCTGGCATTTGATCAGCTTTAGTGGCAAAAAAACGGACTTCATGTGCATCTTTAATCTAAATAAATGGCCAGTAATTGACTGTAAACAAAACTTAATTAAATTAGGTCACATGGCATAATTGACAAGTAATGTGTATGGAATTGCGTGTAATGGAGATGTGATTATTTTCATTTCAGGGTTCATCGGAACAATAAATTTGTAGATGAGCTTTGGAAATATGCAACATTAACTTTTGTGTTCTCTTTGGCCACAGCAGTGGGATACAGTAGGTACGTAACAAACCAAGATATGTTTTCAAAAATGTTTTTGTTTCTTTTTATTGTATATATTATATCAATCCAAGAGATAAATTTTTAAGACATCAAAACCATAAAATGAAAAATAATATACTGAAAACTGTTTTGACACGTACACACACGATTCCATTAATATGAGTTGTTAAAAATAATTTTTTTTTTCACTTAAATAATGAAAGTTGTGCTGACTTGGCAGAGGCACTAGTATGTGCTGTCTGATTGCTTTAAATTTCTTTTTTTCCACATTGAAACAATTTGTTTTCAGAATATACCTAGGGTACCACACATTTCGTCAAGTCTTCTGGGGTGCAGTGTTGGGGGCAATACTAGGGGCCCTTTGGTTTAGCATTGTGCAGTTAGTTTGTACACCATTCTTCCCCCTTATTGCAGCATGGTGAGTGAAGACCACTCTCCACACACACAAACACACAAAAAATAATAAGAATATTTTTGGTTATAGAATTTATTACTTTTTCTTGAATTTCACTTAAAAAGAGGCATAGAATTTGTGCCATATTATATTCTTATTGAACAGGTATTGTATTTTCACAACAAATTTCTCTGCGCCATAGACATGTTTATCTTTTTTTGTTTGTTTATGCTGTTTTAAAGATTAATATATATATGTATATTTATAAATTCATTCATATCTTTTTCTATTGAAAACGTCAGTATTAATTTTTTTATACCATATTATTTTGTATTAATTTATTTGGCCTTATTTGCTTTCAGGCCCATATCAGAGTATTTAATGATTCGAGACTCTACTCTAATTCCTAATGTTATGTGGTTTGAATACACTTCACATAGAACTGAATCTAGGTAAGTTGTGGTTGGTGGGATTTAGTTTAAGTAAAAGTTACATATTTACAAGGATTCCCTGTAACTCATATAAACTACTTATACTAGTTTGTTATACAACTTGATTAAAGTCAACTTGCCAAAAGAAAAACCAAATTAATCACTCGGTCAGCCAAAAATATACCTGTAAAACTGCACCTTTTTCAAATCCCGGTCAGAAATTTGACTTATTTATCTGTCCATTCAGATTTTAAAAGTCCACCAAATAAGGAAGTAATGCTTGATGCATGACTGCTGCATACTCGGTAGCATGAACATTTGAGTGAATGGCAGAAACTGCTGAGAGTTATATATCCATGTGGCACAGAAAGCTAATAGAAAATATATGTTCAAATATAGTTTTTCAGGAAGTATGAGACGATGCCTTTTGGTCTTTCCACCAATTAAGTTGTGCTGTTTAAAACTACATAATTGCATTTGGTCAGTTTTACTGGTTCTGTTTTGGCTTCATCCATAACCTTAAAGATATGACAAATAGTATACTATAGAAAATATAGAAATATAATATAGAAAAATTGTTTTTTCTGTCAGCTATTGGAGACTTTCACATATATGTATATATTTTTTTGTGGTTTCCAGGAGCAGATTAAGAAAACAAGGCAGTTGGAAGTCCTCCTGACAACAACAGAAAAATAACCATTATAGGAAATTTTCATTTTGAAAGTGATTACTTATTATAACTAAAACTAACTCTAAGAAATATTTCTTTTGAATGTGATATGCCATTTTACTGAAAATTAACCACAGGATTTTTCCTCTTTTTATTTTGTTTATTTATTCATGTATTTATTTATTTATTTGAAAAAAAGTTATGTAGTTAATATTGAATAAAATAATTTGAACATGTAACTTAACTGAAAAAAAGTAAATTTCTATTTTGCAAGTGCTTGTATCAAAAGAATTGAAACGAATCATTTTGGAAATTATTATGTTATTTGAAGGAAAACTGGTGTAACAGGGAAATTAACTATGAAGGGCAAATAGATGTGAAGATTGTTTTTTATGTTTAGAAGTGTATTTGAGTGAGTGTAAAGGTTTTAAATGTACTAATGACTGACAATTATTGTAGCAATCGAGTGAAGAAGTGGTGTGAGTGCAATCACAAAATAATCAAGACTTGATCATTTAAGCAGGAACAGAAGTGTTTGTATTTTAAGTGTAACATTGTGTTCACTTGCATTGGTAATAGATAATTAATTTGTAAATAGCAGGCATTCAGACACAACACTGTCTCTTCAAATGCACTTGTTTTATATCAAGTGAGTTCATTCCAAATGTTTTCTATGGCTGTTCCAGCTTTTTGTAGTTTCAGGTGTTGGAATTAGTTTCCTCAACTGATGCATAAAAGAGATATGCATTCCCAAGCACCATTGTAGCCTGTAGGAGGTGGGGAATTAGTGTTTTAATCTGGGAATCTGGACTATTTTCTGATCAATCTTATGGTTGAACTTAGGTACTTGAACTGTTATAATCTAGGTTATATATGTGTACTATAAGGCTCTTCTCACATCGAGCTATACACTGAACTTGTAATTGTGCTAGGTTTGGTTTTGGCTGTTTAGTTATGTTCAGGGGTGGATTTAGGCCGTCTTCTGGGTCTTCCGGAAGATGGTCAGATTTTCAAGTTTACATTGACAGGTATCTAATACTTTCTGTCGGAAGACGGTCAAAATGAAGGATGGATCAACAAAGATAATTTGGAAGACTGTCAGAAAATATCTCTGGATCCGCCCGGGATGTTTAATGAAAATTAGAAAGCTATGCTGAGCTCATGCCTCTGTGTAAGTGACTCTCTGATGTAATAACCAAGTTATTATGTTGTCACTCTCTCAGAGTGGTCAATTTTGATGTACTGCTTGATGTGACTAGGGCCTTAATTGTAAATTATCAGGGATTGGAACTGGGTTTGCAGTATTACTCTTTGTGTCTTAAATTGTGCGAGTGGTTTTCTACAGGAAAGTGACACTGAATAAATTTTAAAGTCCTAACAGTGAATTTATGTTTAAAAACTGCTTTTGAATTCAGTTTGACAATAGAATCAACTTAAATACTAATAGACATTTATTTTTGTAGTACTAACCTCAAGGATTTTTAGCAATTTTCCTGATGACAGTACTGATTATGATAGCCAGAGAAGTACATCTTGTTGTTTATCTCTTATGCAATATAATCTCTCAGATGAAGAATTGGCTTGTAGGTGGCTTTAATCTTTTCTATGAAAAGGGTAATTTGTAATGATGGGCATAGTTTAAAAAGAAAAGAATGTTTGCACTGCTATTTTCCTTGCTGATTGGGTGTGTGTTCTTATTTTTTCTTTCACTGTTTCTCTCGAGCAATGCCATTTTCATGGAGAACTATTTGTATAAAAGCCACCGTTATGATAAATAACATTTGTAAGACTAATGCTTTGTTTGTTTTATATATGATGAACTGTGCACTTTCTCCTGAAATGTGAGTTTACAGATCTCTATTACATATTGCAGATGGGGGTGGGGGTGTTCCTGCACTGCTATAAATAACTTCAATTTTCAGAAATTGATGTTATTCATCATATAAAATACGACTGGGCAACTAACATACAGAGTATTTGTTCAATCATAGCTGAAGGACAGTCTGACAATTTTCACAAAATGCCCTCTGTGTAATGTTCATTATGTATAATCACAACAATCAACTTGGGTTGCTTTTACAGAGAGAAGGCTTGTGATAAGACAAATACTTTCATAATTCTCGAGTCTATAAGCATTTTAAATATTTTTAATTGTCATTAGAATGGAATCGCCAAAGTTTAATGTCTTGTGTTAGTTACATAAACATATAACATCTATGGCTAAAATGTCACAACTTTTGGTCCTTTCTTTTTCTTCTTCAACTTTGGGCTCTCATGGAGAGTGGGTTCATCCTCCACATTGGCATATTTATGGACCTTGTCTATGGTTGTGTCTGCAATCCCTGCAAAAAAAGTTTTTAATGAAACAGATGAAAATTAATGGAAAAAGTGACAAACAGACAGGCATGAAGCCAGTGATTTTAAGAGGGGTGCAAATTTTTTTTCTGGTCTGGGAAAAGTGCACGTTTTTGCCATTATGTTATAGACCCAAGATCAGATTTTGATTCAGTGCAGACCTTTTTAGACCAAAATAGTGATTGGTTTGCTTGACCCCCATTCCCACCCTCATCCCCAGCCTAGAGACATGCAAACATGTATTTGTGGCACTAGTACACAAACAATTCAGAGTCAGACAGGGGCTAGTTGGTCAACAGTACAGTACTCCTCTTGCACCCTGAGTTTCAAAGGTTCCCAAAAACTTGCCTATTTACAATCAGCTTGCCTCTACTGTTTTCTGGGACCTTTGAAACTTGGGGGAGGGGGGGGGATCCTTCAAAAACACTAACAAGTAGCACTGAAGGCAGATTTTTAGGTAAACTGTACAAAAAATGAGCACAATACACTGAAATCAAGACATAGGCCAAACATGAAAACTTGTCTACATGATAATCATGGCCAGACAGTCCTACAATTACCGGGTCCTACTGACAGATAAAAACAATTTGAAATTAAATGCTTCAGGTTTCTTAAATGGAGGTTCATAACTACCTTGCTGTTTCTGCAACTCAGGGCAATCCTTTCTGAAATGTTCCACAGATCCACACATCCTACAGCTACCCCCTGAAACACAATTTTATTGTACTTTATTCAGGTCTCTGAGCATCTGGTACAGCAAAATAGGATTTTTTATTCTTTCTTGCATAATGCTGGTAAACATGTGTATAATTTCTCCAAAGATATTTAAAATATTTACAACCCCTTCATCAAAGGGCTTTAATAACATGACCAACTTGCAGATGTGAACCATTTACAGGTAGAAAACATTTTTAGTCTCTTCAGAAATAAATTACTTAATATATTTTACCATTTTTATTAGTCAGTAAAAAAAGGACACAGGGGCACTTTGTTCAAACAAAGCCTGAGTTTTTAAAAGCCATACTCTTTAATCTACTATTGTTGCTAAATGGTAGATTAATTTTTATTGTGTTCTTTTAACATTGTTCTGTTGTCGGTGTTCTTGATAATTCTCTAACAGTGTAAGGCACACTGAGATTTTAACTTTATGTGCTATGAAAGAGTGTATTATAATTATCATTTATATTATTTTTATCTCACCTTTTGGATACAGTCCTCTTGGATTATCTGGACACTGCTTAGAAATGTGACCCATTTCAGCACATATAAAACACTTGGCATAGGGGAAGTGACCTGAAGAAAATAAAAACACATTTGAAGATCAGATGTGGCCATGACAAAATTAAGACCATGATAAAAGACTACCTCAGTTTAAAAACTCACTGTTATGATTCCATAGTATAAATGCATAGATAGCTTATTATGATTTTAACACTGGTCTAGTCAATTAGCCAGTTAAAAGGGATCCTGGTCAGTTAAATCTGTTAAATGTGTTACGTGCCAGTTGCTCTGCTTTGGTCTAGTAGATTCTTAAACTTGGGTGACTCAAAGGGCATTTAGGCTAAACCATTTTCTGGTGTAGACACTGTATATGAATGTGTGGAATTGGCAATCTTTTTCATTTAATACAAATGGACACACATACATACTGAAAATACCAATGACATTATAACTATTTAAAAGCACATATATAAAATTATACTTTTGTCTTGTTGAAAAAAAAAATAGATATATAAATAAAATATGGCAATCTAAAACTGCTACTACTCATTCACCTGGTTCAACCTTGGCCTTGCAGGTGGCACTGCTGTGCTCTGTGGAGCCACATTTAAAACAGATCCCAGTGCCCTGGTCAGTGTCTCTGGTCACTTGTGGGCAGTCGGCCAGAGTGTGACCGGACTGCCTACAGTTAAAACACACCTGCAAGATAAAGTGTAATCTTTTTATTTATCTTGATAGCAAAATGAAATAGAAAATACTTGGAAAATACTTGGATTAAGCACCAAAAAGGGATGGACGGATAAATAACACCAACCACATCAGAAATGTTCCAAAAATAAAGTGAAAAACATTTAATTAACTCATTCAGAGAATAAAATATTTCTAAAAATGTCAGTAAGCTTAAAGAAATAACGTTGATGACTGGTATGAGTATAACCAATATTATAATTCAATGCAATCATGTATTTTAAACACTTTATACCACCTATGTACTTTCCATTAATAACACTGATGAAAAATATATATATCACATAGCTCCCCCAATCAACTAAAAATAAAAATAAACAATTAAATAATTACCCTGGCAGCCTCTCTTTCGTTAATCCTCTTCACTCGTCTGTATTCACTTCGAGCTTCCTTGTAGTCCTGACTATTTGCCACATTAAACTTTCCTTTAATAAAAACCTTCTTGCCAAACTTCTTCTTATGTTTGGCCACACCCCCTTTCTGAGGCCCTTTCTGTTGATTACTTTGTGATTGGCCATGCTTTTCCAGTTTAGAATGAGTGTGATTTTTTTTAGAATTGGTGTCTGTTGGTTTTGGTTTCTGTTCACCTGTCTTCATCTCTGTCCACGAAGAGGCTGTCAGTTCCTTCTTTTTGTTGGCAGGTCCGCCTCTAGCCCATCGCGTCATGGTTTAAACTTGTGTTGAAACCAGTGCTTCCTGCAATATATTCCACTTGAAATATCTTCCTGCACTATTAAGAAACAGGTAAATAGGGGTCTCTGAAAAATATGACATTGCAAGAATATATATGAATGTAAGTGTGAACTGTGTTGAGTTTATAATATAAAAACAAGGTCAAAAGTGATAGTAGTGTTGCTTTGTCTCAGTTTTTCAAAATAAACACTATATAATTAAGACAATGTGGTATATTATAACCGAAAACTAACTGAGGCACATGTAAACTGATGCTAAAGCTGGGACTCGGTTGAAGTTGTTATTTACTGGTGAACTGCAGTATTTGCGCTAGGGTTACTGAACACCTCACGTATCCACTCTCACATATTTTATATCTAATATCTTTAGTAAAAATTTTATCTCATCTGGTTGGTAAAACTAAGTCTGAGATCAATAAAATAGTTAAAACATTAACAAGTACCTCAAAACGTGTCAGCCACACATTAGCACGCTACTTCCGGTGGCATCGATGCTGTCTAACTATCCTTTTTCCACATGTAGATAGTAAACACGTGTTATTGGATTTTGTGTATATGTTGGATCGCATTCATCGAGTTTTAAATTTTAGCATATGGAACTACAATTGTAAATATCAGATTATGGATCAAGCTGATGACGGGCTTCTGTTAAATTTAGTGTCCTTTGGAGGAGAGGGAGGAGGGAATAAAAGACCCAAGGAGGACAAGGTAATCTGGACTGTTGTAATCTTCTGACTCAAATAATTTTTTCTGGGTTCGAGCCCAACAAGTGTTTCACACAGTAGTGAATATGACATTAGTGGCCGCAATTCACTTAAATTGATGTTTCTTGGTCTATTTTTGGTTACTCTGTAATGCCTTTTTACTTGAATTTTGTATATGTCTTTTATTATTTTCAAATTAGAAACAATAACATTTCTGATAAACAACTTTAAGTTTCAAAGTCCTCAGTTTGCATGAGCACACCGTCACGTAAATTTTGTTCATTTCCTCACTTATCCTATTATAATTTTAGTTGACTCGTCTGAAAAGACAGAGAGCGGAAAAGCGAAGAGCTTTAATTTCTTCAAAAATAGCAGCTTCCAAACAAGAAACACCCACAGGAGCCAAAAAGCCAAAATTAGGCACCAATGGCCCCACCATAGAAGAGGACAAGCACTCTCCATCACCAGCAGAAAAAGAAAGGAAGATCCCTTCAGAGACAGAGAGCGCTCATGAAAAAGGAAAAAACTTCAGAAGTGGTCCACAGCAGATTGTAGCTTCCTTATTCAGAAATAACCCAGAAATACCCAAAGTATCAAGGTTAATTTCTCGATCTTTAGAAAATTTTAAAATGCGATTTATATTTCTGTGCATTAATCTTAAGAGTTTCTGTGGTTGAAAAATTTTAGGGTTTGGGTACGTTTTACTAATGAAAATTAAGAAAATAACAACAACAGTTTTAGAATAATTTATGATTTTATATTACATGCATGTATTTACATTTATAATTAGGTATTTTTTAATGTACCTTTTTAGCCATGCAGTTGAACAACTGAAAGAGAAGATATTTTCTTCTGATAAATTTTCGGAGCTTCAGTTACATCCTTTTTTGGTGAGTTTGTGAAATGTTTTCCTTCAATTTGTTTGCTATTAAAATGTCCTGGTAGTAAAGCCACATATATTCTGATCAAAACAGGTCAGTTACTAGTATCTGTAAGTTATCCTGAAATCAAAACTGTTAATTCTGTTCAAGCCACTAGTG